GCTCCCGGGGACTGAGAGTGCCTCAGCCCTTGGCCAGGAGCCAGAGAGGGACACAAATAAATGCCTGCCTCTGTGTCCCAGGCTCCACACTAGGACACAAGAATGGATGGGGGACAGTCTCTTCCTGTCAGAGAGCTTCTCATCCACAAAACAATGGTTTACATTTCCATCAATTTCTCTTTCTTCCTGCCCTTCAACTACACAGGTTTGACATAACCACGAATCCCCCCCGGACTCTGAAGTGTATTGTGGAAACAGCCTATCATTCTCATCCCGGATCGCAGGTATGCCAGTCTGACCCCATACGAAGATGGAGTCCCTGCATGGCCCAAGCTGACCCCAAACGAACCCTCCTTTTTCCATGTGTTTTTGCGCCGAAGAGATTGGTGCCTTCTGCCTTTGGAAGCCCGGGTCAGACAGGTCTGCTTATTTCCGGGACAAATGCCCTCGAAGTGATCAGCTCTGGCACAACTTTTTTAGAAGTGCTGACACAGAAGAATCATATCTTACAGTTTTTGAGCAGTTACTCTAGGCCATGCATTATTCTTTTTTTTTTAAATGTTTTTTTTTTATTTTTGAGAGAGACAGAGCACAAGCGGGGGGGGGTCCCCATTGGTCAAGCACAAAGGAGGAAGTCTCACGAAAAGAGGGGCAGGTATCAGTGTGGCCTGGGATCTTATGGCAATCCTGCCGGTGAGGGTCAGTAGCAAAGCAACGATCAGCATTGGGCTTTCTTTCCAAACTTGTCTTGCCTCTGCTTGTTGAGTGGGCTCCCAGAAGGGCCTGGTGGCTTTGGAATCACATAGTGCCCGGGTTCTGATCCAGGCCCCCTCCTCACTGGGTGATTTTTGGATCATTGAGTCAACCTCACATTTGCTACAAGAGCCTTTCTTTTCTCCCCTGTAAAATGGAATAGTAATAGTACCAATAAGGTTATCGAGAGGATTTAATAAGATGGTACCCCAGGTGTTCAGTCTGGCTGTTTTAAGAGTGGTTTGTTCCCATAAAGGAAGAGCAGTAATCGTTTTCGTTGGAGACGGAAACTATTGAGACCGGCTTCGCAAACCCGACAGAAAAGGGTCACCAGGAAGTAAGCTTGCTAGAGGGACCCTGGAGAAGCAGAGAGTCCCTCAGTCAGAGAGAGAGAGAGAGAGAGAGAGAGAGAGAGAGAGAATCCCAAGCAGACTCTCCACTGTCAGCACAGAGCCTGACTCGGGGTTCAAACTCACAAACCGTGAAATCATGACCTGAGCGGAAGTTGGACGCTTACCCGGCTGAGCCCCCCAGGCGCCCCAGCAGCAGTGATATAGAGCCTGTACCAGCCCAGCGCTTGGCACACAGTCTTGGGTCTGGGCCTCTGGGCTTTCAAGTTCAGTGGGTAATCACCCTAAAATGCAGGTGCTGAGTTCTTTGCAGTAAAGCAGGTTCAGCTGGAGGGCTTTGGGTACGCTATCTCCTCTCTCTGTGCCTCAGTTTCCTCATTAGTAAAAGGGGATAATAACAGCACCTCTCCGCTAGGGTCTGTGTGAGGATTAATTTCGTGGACTGCATGCGCCTTTAGAACAGGCCCTGGCATCTCATCAGTGCCGGTTGTTATTACTAAGCCCCAGCCAGGCCCTGGGATAGGATGTACAATGAGCCACAAGCTCCGTCTTCCCAGGGCTTAACCACAGTGGAAGGGGAGATTTTTCAAAAATCGGCATTTGTGACCACTGACCTTCATGGTTTGCAAGAAAGTACACAGTGGTTTCGTTAGGAAGGGGCTTCTAATGAACTTGGTCTTCTGCTATGTGGAGAGAGACGTCCAGAAAGTGGGAAGAGATGTCCAGGAAGTTGTGAGGAAACGTCTCTGGTTTTATAGCTATTACCAGCAGGATAGATTAAAAAAAATTTTTTTTATGTCTCTATTTTATTTTGAGAGACAGAGACAGAGAGCGAACAGGGGTGGGGCAGAGAGAGAGGGAGACACAGAATCTGAAGCAGGCTCCAGGCTCTGAGCTGTCAGCACAGAGCCCGACGCGGGGCTCGAACCCATGGACTGTGAGATCATGACCTGAGCTGATGTCGGACACTTAACCGACTGAGCCCCCCAGGCGCCCCAGGATAGATTTTTTTAGGATGTGAGAGAGCTCCCAGGAAAGGAGAGAGGAAGGAGGAACTGGACTCAGGAGCTTGGAAATGGTGCAGCCCAGCAGGGAAGCACTCGTGCTACCATGCACCCTCCCTTGCCAGGAATCACTGTCAACCATTTGAGTCCTTGCTGAAGACTCTCCTTCCAGGGCAAGGGCTCCAGACCGGCCTGAACTAGGCTGGTGAGAGGGGCAGGCACCCTGGTGGACATCTCCTGGCACTGAACCTGAAGGGCGGGTTCTTCTCTCAGTGGATATGACGCAGACCCAACCATAGCATCCCCTGGAAATGACATTCAGTGAGGCTAGGGGTTGGTTCTTAGCTTTTTTGTGTGCCATAGACATCTTCTTAGAATCCTGCTTTTATTTATTTATTTTTAAGCATTTTAAAAAAATGTTTATTTTTGAGAGAGAGAGGGAAAGTGAGGGGGGGAAGAACAGAGAGAGAGAGGAGGTGGGGACAGAGGATCCAAAGAGGGCTCTGCCCTGACAGGGAGCCCAATCCCGGGCTTGAACTCACGAACTGTGGCATCATGACCTGAGCTGAAGTCAGATGCTCAACTGACGGAGCCACCCAGGTGCCCCAGAGTAATGGTTTTTAAATGCATAAAACATATAGGATTGCAAAGGAAACTAAAGATAATGAAATACTAGAATAGAGCATTAAGGGCACCTGGGTGGCTCTGTCAGGTGAGCATCCAACTCTTGAGTTCGGCTCAGGTCATGATCCCAGGGTGGGGAGATTGAGCCCCGTGACAGGCTCCGTGCTGAGCATGGAGACTGCCTGGGATTCTCTCTCTCCCTCTGCAGCCCCCCACCCCCCCATGCTCACTCTCTCTTTCGAAAGATAGAAAATAAAAGAAAGAAAGAATAGGTAGGTAATATGTACTTCTTTATTAACTCATTTAAATGACAGGATCTAGCAGTGGCCTAGGGACACTTATTTTGACCTACAGATGAGTGTAAACAATATATATATTTTTTAAAGATTTCTTTTTTTTTAATGTTTTTTATTTATTTCTAGGAGAGAGAGAGACAGCGTGAGCAGGGGAGGGTCAGAGAGAGGGAGACGCAGACTCTGAAACAGGCTCCAGGCTCTGAGCTGGCAGTCAGCACAGAGCCCGACGCGGGGCTCGAACCCACGAACCGCGAGATCACGACCTAAGCGAAAGTCGGACGCTCAACCAACTAAGCCACCCAGGCGCCCCGAGTGTAAACAATATTTTGAAAAATCTGCAACTGGAATGTGTTATGAAAATATCCGTGATTGCGCCTGGGAACGAAGTCTCAGTCAGGTACTGACTGCCACTGTGGCCGCCGCCTAACCTCACAGTGGAAGGACAAGCTAATTTCAGTAGGAGACTAAAGAAGTCACCCACGTCTTTCTCCCACTCGGGAACTCCCTGGTTTACGCAGAGATCCCGTCCTGGTATGTTGCAAAAATGCTAACAGTACAAGATCAAGCCGAAACAACAGCAACAACAGATTATATAATACGGTGGATTTTCAGTTGATTGTATTTTTTTTTTTTTTTGGCCAAACGAAAAACAAAACAAACATTTGTGTGTATATGAAATACACCCGGAACAGTCTATGGAAAATGTCTCATACTTAAAGAAAGGGGAAATGCATGCAAAAATCAAGTCTCAATGCTGCTTTTTAAGAAGCCTTAGCGAGGGGCTTCTCGCTGCCTCTCTGGGGGCAGCAGGGGGTGGGTGGGGGGCCCACCGGGCCAGGAGTGTGTTTCCCTGGGTATCTCCCCACCCTACCCCCTGAAAAATACCCAAGTCAGTTTGTGCAATCAGTTCATGGTGTCCTGGTACGTGCACTGGCTGGAAGGTGGAGACTGACTTTCAGCGGGGCCTGAGGTTTGTCCCTAATCAGCTCCGTGAGCTCAGGTCGACCTCAAATCTCTCTTGATCTCAAATCCGCGCAGCTGGGGCTCCAGGCTCCCACCCTCAGGCTCTTGTTATTCACGTGGGCCTTATTCTGGCAGGTACTTTACAGTCTATCCACCACGCACCAAGAAGCATCAAAGCTAGAGCTGTTGCGCCCCGAGAGCAAGAGGAGGTGGACGCAGCGGCCAGAGACCGCGAAGACCGGGAGGCTCCCCAGCCCAGGGGGAGCCGCGGGCACTTTGGGGGGGGGGGCTTGCGACCCATAGGCAGATTAGGGTTCCACGAAAGGCAGCATTTTCACCCATCAGGACTGCCCGGGACGAAAAGGGGAGCACGCGGCTGGGGAAGGACGCCGCTTCCTTTCCGCTGCGAACTCCAGCCATTCCGGCGTATTAGGATCCGTAAACGGAGATTCTTGCAAAGGATGCCCCTCGCTCTCCCCTCTCCACACCTGTGCCCTCGCACCTGGGACGCGTGGGCGAGCAACGTCACAGGCCCCGCTGGGAGAGTGCAGTTACTTCCGAAGGCTCTGGGTGTTGCCAGGTTCCCTTGCGGGGTGGAAACCGGCGACAACATTTCAGGCTGTTCCGATGCTACCTTCCTACGGAGGCGAAGCATTAATCTTCCTAAGGAGGCGAGGAATTAACCAAAAATTGTTAGCACACCCGCTGCGACCGCGGCAGGACTCGAACCTGCAATCTTCTGATCCGAAGTCAGACGCCTTATCCATTAGGCCACGCGGCCACCCGACGCCTGGTGCTCTTTGGACAATCTAAAAAGTAACATTACCGCCCTCCGGCTTGCCTGGGACCAACCCACTTGTTTCTTGGGCGGGGGAGGTTAGACTTTGGTTCCCAGAGTTCCGCAGGGAGAGCCCACCCGGAAGTCTCCGTCTCCCCCCCGCGGGCGGACGGGTCCACTTGCGGCCCTCCTATTGGTCGCGCTGGGAGTCTCCCGCCTGCCTCTCGGGTAGCCGCGGGACGGAGCGGGACGCAGACGGGAAGTTGCTGCTGCCAGCGAGGCGGCCTGGTCGGTGGAGGCCACACGCCACCCCGAGGCTGCGTAGGCCGCGCGGAAGGAGACGCCACTCCGTCGGCCTGCGGTCCGCAGCCGCGGCCCGGGAAGCACCGGACGGACCGAGGTTTCCGGCGGGTTCGGCCCGGGGGAGGCCGGGTCGCTGAGCGGCGGCGCAGCCCCTCCCTCTCCAGTCAGGGAGCGGGGCCCGGAGCTGGGCGGAGGCTCGTCCCAGGGCGCACCGCGGCGCCGCCGGGCACGGGCACGGGCGGGCGGCCAGGCGCACGGGGCCGCCGTTCCCCGCAGGGCGCCCTCGGCGGGCCGGGCCGGAGCCCGGGCGTGGGTGGGGGCCCCGGGGGACGGCGGCGCGCCCTGCGGGTTCGAATCCTGGGGCTGGCACCTGGCGGCGCTAGCCCCTCGGGCCGCGGCAGTCGCGGTAATGTCAGCCACCGTTTGCCGAGCGAGCGTGGTGCCGAGGGCCGCGCCTCGCGCCTTGCTCGCCCTTTGTGTCACCCAAACAGCGGTCCCGTGTGACAGGTAGAATCCGTAGCCCCATTTTAAGGAGGAGATTGGGGCCTGAGGGAGCTTGCCCAAGGTCACGCATCTCCTAACAGCCAGAGCGGGGATTCGAACCCGCCGCGTCCTCCTCCCGGCGCGTCACTCGTAACCACCGCCGTCACCTCCCCCCAAGTTCACTGCCGAAGCCGCCTGAAGCGCAGTTTCCTCAGCAGGGGTGGTGATGACTGCCGTGGTTGTTGGGGGCTTCACTGCCTCGGCCGCAGGAAGTGCCCGGGGGGGGGCGGGGGCGGGTGGTGACGGCTCGTCACCCAACACGGAATGCCTGGTCACGGAATAACCCTTTGTGTCGTCTGTCTCCTTCAGGCTTTGTGGGTGGAAGGCAGGCATGGTCAGACCCATTTCACTGACCGGAACGCAGAGGCAGGACGTGTCTCCCTCCGCGTCTCTCGGCCAGTAAAAGCAGCCAAGCTGGAGCCCAAAGCCCCGTGTCCTGACTCCCAGCGGGGGGCTTCCTGCACCGACCATGAGCCGCCAGCTCTGGAAGAAGGTGGCCGGCGCCACCACCGGCGGGCGCGGGCCAGGGCCAGTTCCAGCTCCGGGCCGCTGGGGCTCCGGCCCCGCCCCCGCCCCCAGCGACGAGCCGCCGCCGCCGCCAGCGCCGTCCTCGGAGGGCGGCCAGCGGCGGCACAGCCCGTTGCACATCCAGATGCTGTCGCGAGGGCTCCACGAGCAGATCTTCGGGCGCGGCGCGGAGGTGCCCGGGGAGGCCGCGGTGCGCCGCAGCGTGGAGCACCTGCGGAGGCACGGGCTCTGGGGGCAGCCGGCCTCGCCCCTGCCCGACGTGGAGCTGCGCCTGCCGCCCCTCTACGGGGGCGACCTGGACCAGCACTTCCGCCTCCTGGCCCAGAAGCAGAGCCTGCCCTACCTGGAGGCGGCCAACTCGTTATTGCGGGCCCGGCCGCCCCCCCGGCCCCCGAGCTGGGCCTGGGCGGAGGGCTGGACCCGGTACGGCCCCGCGGGGGAGGCCGTACCCGTGGCCATCCCCGAGGAGCGGGCCCTGGTGTTCGACGTGGAGGTCTGCTTGGCAGAGGGAACTTGCCCCACATTGGCGGTGGCCATATCCCCCTCGGCCTGGTGAGTAGGGGCTGGGCTCTGGGGGGCGCCTCAGCTCACGTGGCGCGGGGGGGGGGGGCAGCTTAATAGTTTGGCTCGGTGAGGAGGTTACTGAAGGCCCCCTGTGTGGCCCGCGGGCGCTCTTCCAGGGGCTGCGGATCTCCCGCTCGGCTGAAAGAGGCTTGACCCTAGCTTTCCGGGAGCTTGCGGTTTGGCGGGAAGATGCAGGCAGTAAACAGACACCCAGGCAGACGGCAGGCGGTGGCAGGGGCCATGGGGTAGATGCCAGGGGGTAGATGCCAGGGGCCATTACAGTAGACCGTTGCACTTGGGACCCGCGGGGAGAGCAGAGCGCTGTGGTTACCCTGAGTTGGTGCCTCCCCCTCCCCCCCCATAACTTCCCGAGAAGCTAGTCCAAAGCATTTGAACAGCGTTTCTATCTGGGGGCGCGATTGGTTATTGTGGGCAGGAGAACTCTCCCTTTCGGGGGACTGTCCCAGGCCGTATAAGACATTTGGCGTCCCCGTCCCCTCCCTTAAATACCAGAGCGAATAGCCCGGCAGGTCACATGCGCTCCCACCCCGAGGAGGCAGCAGCATCCCCCCCCCAGTTGAGAAACCTTGCTTCCTCCCCGCAGCCGCCCAAGCATTTTGCTCCCCCGAAGGTTTATCCAGATCCCTCTCCTTTTGAAGTAACGTTCTAAGTGCTCCCCACGTTTCTCTTTCAAACAATGATGGCAGCCCTGTTTCTCCCCCTTTTTTATTCTTCATTCCAGGATTAAAATACTATTTACAACCTTAATGCTTTCAGGCATGGCCAGCACAAAAGTTAGCAGTTTCTTTATTCCTATGGGAAGCTATATCTCTGTACAGAAAGCTGCGAAATGTTAAATATGCAGTTGAAAATGGTGAAAACATGGCTAAATAGATAAGGTAGGCATTAATGGCTGCAAAGAGCGAACTAGATTCCGCATTGATTTAGTTCCAGTGACGATGAGCATCTCAGTGCTTGCTCTGTAACTGGGTCAAAATAGAGGGAGTGCCGCCCATCGTTCGAGAAGGTAAAATAGGCTGTGGCGGCTGAAGGAGACTTAGGAAACCAGGGACAAGAAAGACTTGTCTTTTGATCTCTCGGTCCTTGTGGCCATTTTTTACCTGAAGTCCCCTTTTCTCTTCCTCCTCCTCCCTCTCCCTGCCTTCCCTGCCCACCTCTCATCTCCATCCCATTCCCGCCAGTGGTGCGGGGGGCACCGCCGAGGCCTGGGCACATTCGGGGACCTGCCTCCTGGGCGCCTGGCTGTGGTGGGGAGCGGGGTGGGGGTACCAGACAGGGCCCCCTCACAGCAGTCCCCTTTGAACTCGGGCACGTCCCTGCCCCGTAGCTGTGTAACACCAAGTCCCAGAGCAGCTAGAAACTTCTAGGGGGGGCGGGTGGCTTAGACATCCCATGGGGCAGCCTCCCAAAGATAAGGACCGTGGTCAGCAGCCGAGAGGGAGCATCACACGGGTGTCAGCGTTGATCCGAGATTCACAGGAAAAGCGCAGAGTATTAATGTCATTGATCTGACTCATCTTAAACTTTTCAAAGGTGTTTGTGTTTTGGCTTTTTTTTTAAATCATGAATTCACAGTAAGACGGCTCTCACGCACAGCTGCAGACCCGGGGCTTGACACCAGCCTGACTTTTTATTGCAGCCAGACTTCCTGTCCTCACCGTAGCCTCCAGCATTTGACGTCTTCTAGCCTTTTCTTCAGGGGTGTTCTCAAGGGCTTCGAAAGGGGAGGAGGTTTCAGCCTGAGTCCGAGGGTAGCGCCAGCAGCTGGAGTGTGAGTTAGGCTTCGGCAGGTTGAAAACTAGGAACCTGTTTCTGCCAGCAGCCCCCGCCCCGTAAGAAACAGTGTCATGTTTGTAGAAACTGTTGAGGCAGATGACCCCCTGTCGTCCCCCCCTGCAGGGGGTCGCGGGGGAGCTCCTGTGCACCTGTGCTGGCCACGTGCGGCCAGGTGGTCACGCACTGTGACGCTGACCGGCTCTGACCCGTTGCCATGATCTGTGGTTCACAGCAGGCTTGCCCTCAGCGGCCATTTCCGCGCGCTTAGCCTCGCGGGTGTTGAGCGCGCACTCCAGCCTTTTTCCCCCAAATCGGCGTCCTCAGTCCCTCCCGCCACCCCTCTTCTCCCGCACATGCGCACACGCTCTCTCTGGGCCGGCCTCGTCCTTGGCTCCAAGGGGCGCTCGGAGAGGCACGCACCGTCCGCGAGGTGCCGGGTTCGCTCTGTCCTTTGGGCCACAGCCGTTAGGTGGTTCATCTGGTATGTGTGCAGCATTTGTCGTCGTCTCTCTGTTCTTTGTTTTTCCTTTTTTGCCACTTTTAAACTAAAAAAGAAACTTTCCGCTTTACGAAATCTGTTGGAATTGTCTGGCTCCTTCACTAGCATTCCGCACACCTGCTGGTCTGTGCTGGGAGGCCTGAGGGGCTGGCAGCGCTCATAAGCCGCACAGACTCGCGGGGCCCAGCGAGCTCCTTGGTGGCCCGGGCCGGGTGCCTGTGTCGGTCACCGAGCACCGTGGCATTTAGCTCCGTTTGTCTCTGGGGAACTGAAAAGTAAAGCTTTTCTAAGCTCCCCCCACACACACACCCAGCTGACCTCTAGCCCTGTGGGGGGTTGGGAGCACCCGTGGTCTTCCTTGGGTCCCAGCCGCTAGCACAGGACCTGGCATGTGGTGGCAGGTGTGCGGTGGGGGGTGGAGCCGGAGCTTAACGCCTCTGTGCTGAGCCTGTCGCCTCTCCTCTGTCTCAGGTATTCCTGGTGCAGCCGGCGGCTGGTGGAAGAGCGTTACTCTTGGACCAGCCGGCTGTCGCCGGCTGACCTCATTCCCCTGGAGGTCCCTGCGGGCGCTGGTGGCCCCACCCAGCGGGACCGGTGGGAGCAGTTAGTGGTGGGGCACAACGTTTGCTTTGATCGAGCCCATATCAGGGAGCAGTACCTGATCCAGGTGAGGTTCCGGGGCCACTGTAAGCTCTGGCTTGGGGCGGCCTCTCCGATCTCAGTGGCAGGGGAAGGCTTTGCTGTTTTTTTGTGGTGGCTCAGGGCCTCCTGTTGACCAGCCTTACTCCTGCTTCCCGTGCCCAGGACTTGCCTGGTACTAACAGCCCTTACCTCTGTGTGGCGTTCTAGAGCTTAGGTCTCTGGGCCACATAGCCTGGGCTCACATCCTGCCTCAGCCAGGGACTAGCCAGGTGTGAGGACCTTTTTAAAAAAAATTTTTTTAAATGTTTTATTTATTTCTGAGAGAGAGGGAGAGACAGCATGAGCAGGGGAGGGTCAGAGAGAGGGGGAGACACAGAATCCGAAACAGGCTCCAGGCGCTGAGCTTGCTGACAGCACAGAGCCCGATGCGGGGCTCGAACCCATGAACCGTGAGATCGTGACCTGAGCCGAAGTCGAATGCTTAACTGACTGAGCCACCCAGGCGCCCCTAGGACCTAACATACTTGAGCCTCAGTTTCCTTATTTGTCAAAAGACGAAGCTAGCAGAAGCTACCTCGTAGTGTTGCCGGGGAGGTGTGAACGGTGTACACACGTCACACGCTCAGAACCGCACGTGGTGGGTGCTGGTGGCGTTCTTAGTTTTCTGGGAAATGCGCCTTCATCGCATCCTCACAACCGCCCCGGGAGGAAGGCAGGGCAGGTGAGCGCAGCTTTGGCGTGGGGCCGAGGCTCAGGCAGCCTTGTGAGTGGCGGGGCTGGGCCGGGGGCTGAGCCTGGGAGCTGGAAGGCCTCGTTGTGGCCGCTATTCCCAGGGCGGCCCTCCGAGCTGTTGCTGGAGGCCGGGAAGGACTTGTGTGTTGGGACTGAGCCAGGCCTGCAACTTCCAGGGTGACTCAGGTTTGGGAGGGTG